CAATAACAATTGGTCATTCTAACTTACACCAACGTACCAATTAAAAGTCAGTTCACAAGCCATATTTAAATACATATACCTACTTTTCACAATCCATTGAAAAACCATTTCTCAAAAGGGAATGCCATTTTTTCATAATCAAAATAATTACATCAAATAACTTAAATTAAGCTATGCTTATCTTGACCACACCCTTATGTCCCCGCCACTTACACTTTATTACCATAAACTGCAACCTAAACTGTGGACACACTTAACTAAAAGTGCATTATCAATGGAATACAACTCCCTTCCTAAAAAGGAGGTGTCTATCATCCTAAAACTCAAACCAGGGTGACAAGAAACTATAAGAAAAGGCCAACTATTATGCAAATAGTAGAGGTGTACCACCTGACAATCAGAATATCGAATCTCAATCTCCCATATATAGTCATCACATCAAACATCAACTACCTTATTCACTCTTTGTATCATGTTTCAAAAATCAACTAAAATCATTCATAATCAACTAAACATGCTTGTAAGCTTTAAACTCATTTCATAAAATTTCAATACACCTAAGCATGCTTAAAAATATTCAAGGTTATCTAATATAGGAAATTTCTTACATATCCAACATTTGACAGTGACTAGCATACTTGAAAAGAATTAAAATACAATGTAATCAATTTCAGAGATCAACGACATGCAAAACAAAGTAGTTAATAAGCCCTTAGTGGGCACAACAGCATTCCTAGCTTACATATAAATACATATTAATAAAATATACATCATAATATAAGAAATAATAATTCAATGTTATCTCTTTCCAAGCTTAAAAACAATCACAAGCACGCATGAGAGCAACACCGACAATTAACAATTAATCTACAACACATAATAATGTTACACGTTAATACAACTATAATTGATGCATTAATCCACTATAATATTTTAAGTCTCCTATTTTACCTATTAGGCTCAAACATTATTTTAGTCCTACTTCCACCAATTTCCAACCAAAACAAACTCATTCAAGTTATCCCCAATAACCAAAATTTCCATTTATGTTCAAACCCTCCAAACAGTCCAAATTCTTAATTTATAGCTTATTATCAATTCCCTCAAATCATAACCCTCCTTTTTTAACAACATGTCAAAACATTCAAATCTACATTCCACTCTCAATAATTATTTATAGATCATGATATCATAATTTAACCAATCAAAACCCCACAACCATCAAATTCTCCAATCATTCTTTTAAAATTTTAATTCAAGCATACCAAATGGATTTTACAAATTTTAAACACCTCAACACTTTATTCATTATTAAATCACTTTCAAAAACTACTCAAAGGCCTACAATTTTCAATTTTTACAATTATATCAAAAAATTATTTTTTTGAGTAAAATATCAACTATTCAATAGTAACTCAAATTAAATCAAATTAAGATTCTTTTCACTTAAATTTTTTTAACTGAAATAATTTTTTAGCCAAACAATGTTCAAATTGTTCATACCAAAAACACTTCAAAAAGTTCACATTAATTCTCCTGTAAGTGAAAAAATCATCCAAACTTGTGATTTAACCATATAATAAATTTCTAACAAGTATTTATAAGTTACTCATAACTAATTATTAAAGTTCCAGATAATAATTAACTCCAAAATCAAAATCCTTCTTTTTACACTATTTAGGAATCCTATAAAATTTCAAGTTCAAATTTGAGTTCAAATAATGAATTTTAAACCAATAGAACCTCAATTTCAACCTATATAAACATAATCCAGACATTAGATTCAAATTTCCAAGGTTAGAATATCATTAATCATCTCAAATCTCCACTTTGTTACAAACATAAACATCAAATTCTCCAAATCAAACATTTGAACAAATATAAGATGATAAAATACTTAATCTAACTCCACTAGCATACTTAAACTCAAATAAATTAAAACTATTTCAAATTCAAAACTATAAAAAAAACCCTAAAATTTCACTATCAGAAATTCAAAAAACTAGATGGAAGAAGGTAATTGAAAAAAGATAAAGAATACTCATCTAGCATTTAAAATCTTTAAATATTACTCAAAGTATCATATAATGGAGTCCAGCTCCAAGTATCTCTCACCCCCCTCGCCCTCGCTCTCGGAGGAACTGGAAGAAGAAGCAACGTGAAGTAGAAGCATGAGAGAGGGAGCAATGGAAATGAAACAGTGGGGTTTATTATAATAGTGAGGGTTCCGCATATACCTTTCTCATTTCTCTCTATCCTTTTTTTTTTTTTGCTTTTGCATATTTATCTAAACAAATATCCTAATCCTCTTCCATGATCATCAAGCATTGGTTTAAAATTACATTTGAGTCCAAAATAAGACTATCCTTGTATAATTTTGCTTAGTCATAATTTCTTTGATATCCAAATGAATATTATCTCTCTAATGAAAAAATAATTTATATATATATTAATCCCACTAAATCTTATTAATATATTTTTCCAAAAATCTTAAATTGGAATTATATCCTAATGTAAGGCCAATAATCATCTCCTAAGTAATTTAATCATTTTCAAATGTTCTCTCTAATTTCTATTAACTCTAAATAGTTCTTAAATTTAAACTAGGATATTACAACTAAGCTCATTCTCCAGTGGATGGCACCATGCACCATTTTTTAATAATTAGTTCGCGAGTTGCGAACTGCAAAAAGAAAGAGGATAGGAGAAATAAAGAAGCAACAATAGGAGGAATTCATATGGGTGCTAGGGTTTCGTTTCTTGGTCTTCTTGAAGCAATCCAAGCTTGCATTTGTTGAGATAAACTTCCATTATTCCTTAAGTAAGATTTTGAGTTGTTGGGTGATATATTGGTTGTTATTTAAATTAATGAGAATTGAATGGAGTTACTGAGAGCTAGTAAATTCATTAGCTAGGAAGTTAGGCTGTTAAAGTGTGAGTTTGGGAGCTAAAATTAGTGTTTAAGTGGATTCTTAGTGATGATTGTTGCTGTTAATTATAGATTAACCTTGTCGCATGTTTTTATAGCTCTCTATAGGCTCAACAAGTAAGTCATTAGAGGTGACCTTTAAATTCTCAAAGGTTGAGGTAATTGAGAAAATTCTATCTTATGCTAATTGCTTATTAGATTGATTTTGATTGCTTGTAAACATGATTAGTATGGTTTTTATTCAAATATAAACTTGTTATTGTTTTAGAAAATGTGATGTAAGTGTGGCCTCTTTGTATTAAATGAAATGAGTTCATTTTGATAAATGTTTTTATAATATTGAAGTCAAGAAATGAATTATTTTAAGTAAATATGAGCTTTTAAGATAATACTTTATATTTCCATGTGAAATATAATCAACATCATAGGTGGCCCCAATAATTGGTTCGAGGTTTGGGTCTTCTTGAATCTCACCTAAAAATAGATGTAAGCATATATTACCTAAACCCTTAATCCTTACGTCCTCTTGGATTGGGTGTACAGTAGAATTTGTGACACCCCAATAAATTTAAGAATTAGGAGAATCTATGGTTCAAGAGTGAGTGTAGCATCCTTGATCAGGTAATTCTTCATTATTAATGAGCTTGGACTAGTCCTTGTACACAGACTTAGCCCTATTGAATTGTCAACTCATAGATTTAATTGGCAATATATGAAGGAAATAAGGAGTAGTTGATTATGCATTTGTAATACCAAATGACTTGATAATGAATTGAGTATTGGTATGATTTTATGTGTCCACTTTGCATGCCATTTTGATTTGACTTGCATATGTACAACTTTAAGTTTTTTTTATTATTAAGTGGTTATGCTCACTCCTATTATATATTTTACAAGCTCTAACTTTATGAAGGTCAATGAGAAGGCAACTCAGGTATAAGAATTTGTGATTCCTACACTATGCCTCTTTCTTTTGATTTTAGTTTACTTGTATCATTGCATGTTACCTGTGACGATTGTTTGTATCTAGTGCTCTAGTATTGTTGCATATGCTTTTTAAAGTTTAATCAGGGCCTAAGTACTAGTGTAAGTAAGTTTATGAATATTTTGATTATTGTAAAAGTATAGTTTATGAAACTATGTTGTTACGCCTCCACTATGATTTTTGATGATGTTAGGGTTGAAGAATGAAAATGTAATATATGTACGATGTGGTATGTTGTATATGTTATCTCTAATCCTTAGGGTTTGATCTAGTTGTTTGTTTTGGCTCTTGGTACTTTGGGTTTGATTTTGGGCATCTTGGAGGTTTTGAAAAGTGTGAAAAAGAGGTTTTGGTTATGAGTTTCCAACTTTTAATTATATTATAATTTGGGAATAAAATCATTGCCATTAGTTAATTAACTGTTTGATCTTTTTGCTGATACTTAGATCACCTTGAACAAACATTGGATGAAGGCCCATGATGTATTGAAAGTTTGCTCCAAATGTGATGGTATGATAACATCAATGTTGTCGTTTTTGTGCAATGCATCTGGGTGGATGGTGCCTTCAACACGGTGCATGATATTGAGAAGCTTGTCGTGACACATTGTTGTATCAACTATAGTGGAAATGACATTGACTGTGATAAGTGACTCTAGTTTTCATAAAAATGTTTTTTAAGTACTATTTTTAGAGGTTTTAATTATCAAATAATATTACATGTTTTTGTGTACCCCTTAAACTCTAAATGATGGTTGTTTAGTCCTTGATTGTTTGAAATATACTCTTGTTCCATTTTGAATCCTATAAATTGGAGACATTATACTATTACACTATTAATTAATAATTAATGATCGGCTTCAACGTTTTCTAATATACTAGCATCTCTTAATTATTTTTAATAATTTCTATTATGATAGGTTATTTTTTTTTACTATAATAAGGTACGCATATAATTTATGTTTATTAATTTACATTCGCAAGTTTAATTCTTAGAGGGCAAGAGTTAGCTTAAAAATTGTCAAGCCATTCTTTTCTTTTTTTTTTTTTTTTTAATTCTGCCACACAAGTGATGCAAAGCTCCTGCCATCTCGTATTGAAAAAAAAAAAAAAAACCTCCGAGTACCTGGGAATCAATTCGGCGCGAACTTCCCTACACCGCTTCCCGTCTTCGAAAGTGAGAGGTTGAGAGCAAAGCGACGCGCGTTGGCGCCTACTTCCTTCCTTCCTTCGTACCAATCTGAAGCTTCGAAACTGAGAGCACGTTGCTGCTCGCCTTGCTGTTCAGTTCATGTTGTTCGCACTGCTGTTCGCCCTCGCCGCTCAGATCAAGGTTCACGTTGCTGTTGATTGATGCCTGCTTCTCTCGCGTTGCTCTCAAGGTTCGGTTTACGCTTCCTCACACTCTGGTTTGAATTTTGGTCTGAGATCTGGAAATGATTAATCCCAAGGTTCAATTTTTGCTCTGATTTTTCCTGTTAATGATTGAATCCCAGTGTTGTGAATGTCTTCTGCTTGAATGATTACAGCTCTGGTGTTCAAATTTTGATTTCTTTTCTTCGATTGTAGCTCGGAAATTTTCTGGTTGAGGATTTGATTTTTAATCCTTGTGTATTTTCTGGTTGAATATTTGAGGAGTTGATATTTTTTGATTGATATGGGTTGAATGATTGAAGTTGTGGCTCTTTTTTCTTTGCTTTTTGGTGCTTATTTCTGATGAACAGCAACAATACAATTGAGTCTGCTCCTCCTCAAGGACGTCAACAACAAATTATTGAGCATGTTGTTGATGGTTATTTGGTTTTTCATTGTTATTATGTTAGATATTTTTATATATCTGGCTACCAACTTCCCAGTGGTGTGCTATCACTTGTTCTTGGTTGATCACTGTCTGTACTGGTTTTAGCTGGTTCGTTGGGACCATTATTCTGAAGAAGGTTGCTGAAGTTACTGCATGAATGGGAGGCATAGAAAACAAGTCGGTTTCTGATATGAAGGAGAATATTTTGTGCATATTTAAAGATTTCATGACTGGGTAATTGCAAATTTACTGTTAATTGCGTAATTAATTTGTCTGCACTTGCAATAATAGATTAGGAAGTGATGGGCTTTTTGGCCAAGAGCAAACAGATTACATGCCTGCATTTATAGACCCTTTAAAAGTGGGGAATTCTTTGAGATATTTTATTTGTATCATTAGGAACTCAACCTGTTCCTTAAGGGAAAAAATATTTTCCTTTTGCGCAAACTGTCAGAAGTGAAAAATGAGATGCAACAATTGAAAGCATTCCTCCCCTGTAAAATGAAAAAAGAGATTCAAGTTGATATGACTTTGATTCTACTAAAATAACTTAAATTTTACAGCTAACTCATCTCAAGATGCATGCTAAACTAAATTAATTGACGGAAGAACTTTACATGAAAATATTGTAAGTATCAATTAAATAGATTACTGGCTTACTGCATTCTGAGGTTTAAAATCTTTACACAAGCAATACTATCAGAGTTCAGAAGGCAAGCCTTGAGATAATTATGTCTGAACATTTTAATTAGTAATCCCTACACTCAGGGAATAGTGGGAATAAAAAATTAAGGTGGAGGTGAGGGAAAAAATGAAATTTGAAAATAATGCATAGTGAAAACTTCATCACATGTTTATGTATTATTATTGGTGAAGCCGACTCTTGATGTGCAAATATGTGTTTACTTTGTTTCTCTTTCTCTCTTGTGTTTACTGAATTTTAGAATAGCTTTATTTTGTTTTTTTCTCTTGTTCATATCATGTAATTTAAATTTTTACCCTGTGGCAGGATTACAAAAATTGATGAGTTGGGGACTGCTGGAAGCAGGCTGCTGATTGGCTTTCAACAAGCACTAGGTACTTGGTAGTTTTAGAAAGTTATGTTTATCATGTGTTACTAGTGCAGAATAATAATTCTTGTTACCTTAGTTATGTTATACCTTTTCACATTATCATGCAGAGTACATTCGTAGACCTCCTATAGATGGAACTTCTGAATTAATTGACAAGGTAATTAAAGCTAATGGAACAGAGAGACTTAAAGTGTATATTGAAGCTGGATGCAGGAATTCCCTTCACGGAGTCCAGAATGTAAACAAGAGTGAGGGCTACTTTTTAACCTTCTTGATTTGAGTGTCAGATAGATTTTGAAAAGTAAACAAAAACGTGTTCTAGTACTCGCTCCAGTTCTATTTACGTGACCCATTCTAGAAGCTTTTCATAGTCCTTAAATAAGACCTTTTGCAAAATATATTAAGCATTTATGATTATTTTTCAGACTTGTCCTTCATTGGAAGTAGGATTTTGACTTTATATGCAGAAAAAGGGAGCCCCACGTACCATTTAATGACTTTAATGAAGAGTAATTTTGGAATGTTATGATAATTTTTGGTAAAATCAAGAAAATTAACAAATTTTAACCACTTTTCATTTAAAAATGTCTTATAAATAGGACTAGAAGGAGTATTATTTTCCAGATTCATCATTTTATTAATAATTAACCCTAAGAGTGGCTGTCGTTATATTCAAGATTTTCCACTTGACTGCAAGTTCACTAAAGTTAGCCAAACTTTTATTGACAGAAATTCTCAATTAATAATTATATTTGCTTTGCATACTTTTGAGAAATATGATTCAAGCAAAGCTCTATATTCAAGGCACACAGTGTCAAAGTTTCTTGTATCTCTCTTTTCCCCCGTTGACTGGTTTTTTTTCGGCTTCCAGCAGTTTTAATCAGTTTATCACCTACTGTCTGTATTTGAAGCATTTTGAATGAAGTTAGTCTCTCACGAGATAATTTTGTTATTAATTTAAATAGCAACTAAATTGTGAATCACTTCAACTTTATTGCTTTCTTTCCTGCCTGATAATAATAATTTTCATTGTGGCAAATGTGTGCATATGGAAGTGAATTCATGCAAACTTGGACTTGTTGACCACATAAGCAAAGGTTAGCTTCCTTTTCATGTGATTTATTACTTTCTACCATATTCATAATAACAAAGACGTATGTTGAAATACATTTCTTCTTAAAGGGTTTGGAGCTGCATGTCATTTCTTTAACCATTTGGTGTCTATAGCCTTTATATATTCTATCTTCACTATTTTTTACATGCCATTTCTCCATGAAATAAGTAATTAGGTAGCATTCCAATAACAAATGCTATTCGTTATAGTTTCTGTAAGATTTTTACCAACTTGGGTCAAAGCAAGTACACATACTACTAGCTCAAGCATGTTTCAATATTGGCAATGGACTGAAGAGAATTGTGTAATTAATATTTAGCTGATGACAACGAGTCTGTTGAAATACTAGTTAAAGCATGCTTGTGATCTAAAGCTCTGGGTTTTAAAATTATTCTTGACAGAGATGAAACAAACACTTTATCTAATATCTCTTCATATTTTGTGTTATCATATCTGGTGAAGTGGCTATGATCATTGCGACCTACTTTCCTGCAATAGGGAGAGAAGAACGAGTTGTTAGTCCAGGGTTATATTGATATTTGCGTTTTTTGTATTATTGGCATATGAGTAATGTCATTTCTCTCTCCCTCTCTTTATAGTCAACCTGGTTGAAATTTTCATTTGCAGCTCTCGTTGATTCCCCCCTCCTTTCTGCATGACTTTGACAATGAAATGGTCGATCTTGTCTTGCAGCCAAAGTATTTCTTGAAGAACTTGAAGGCCTTTTGGGCGATGTTACAAATTCCATACAAAGGACAGATGGAGATTTATTTCCCATTTCAGAGAAGGATTATGATGGTGAATTGAATGATCATGCAATCCGTAATAATATGGTAACATCTTTATTTCTTGCTTTTTGAAGGAATTTTTAATTTTAATGCAATGGCTATCTTCTAAACCCTTGTATGAAAGGTTTTATGACTATATATAAAACTACAAATATTTATGTCAGACCCTTCTTTTAAATTGGCCGTTTACATGCTCGTCCTGAGAGAGATGTTGTCATGATATTTTTAGCTCGCTCAAGAATCCTGTCTTTTTCACAGGAGGAAATGGTCTTCTCTGATTCTCAAAATATTGACGTCACTCAATTAGCTGCTCTCATGAGTATCATATACAGTATGGTCAAGCGAGAATATCTGATGCAGGTGATGTAAATGATTATGAGCTCTTTTTAATCATTGTTATCAGTCAATTGTGAACATTAAAAAAAATCCCCCTTATTGTTGCAGGAAAAGATCGTTTCGGCTTTAAATCTCAAGTCTTCGTTAGGAGAACTCGAAAGCTACTGCCTAATGTGGTCCTTGCGGCCCTTTATAAACGATGACATCATGCATCAAGCTTGGAGACTTGTTTCCTGACCGTCCTGTGTTCCTGCTTGAGGTGGAACAACCCAATAACATGTTTTGCTCTTAGGTCTAAAGTTGGAAATTAATCATGTGGAAAAAATAATTAATACAACAGACTTCATTTTTGCTCCGTGTACATGACTCTGATTATGGCTTTGTCGCCTTGAAATCTTACTTGGCTGACCTTTATCTGCATTAATCTGGCAAAGTTGGGCATTCTACTCGGATTTTCAGATCTTTCCCAGTTATTGCCTGTGTATTCTATGCCTTACCATTTCATGGTTATGGAACTACTCAGAAGATTAATTTCTTTCAGTGAAGTTGTCTATTAGATTAAAATTTTAGAAAATGGGTCTACTCTTTTTAAAATTATTTCATTGGCCATTTTGATAATTTTATCAGAGAGAGCCCAGAACAAGTAAAATTTAATAATGATAATATGATACCAATACAAAACTGCCAAGTCCAACTTAATGTAGGCCGCGAGATACAATCATTAAAATAATAATCAACATATACCTAATAACAAGGAGTAATATTTGATTATTTAATACAATATACGCCCTTAAGTTTGGAGCCGTGCAAGTTTATGGTTCCTAACTCTCTTCTTTGCCAAGGGCTTTGGTATTACAAAAATCTCCCAATTGGTTTTTGGATCTAACATGTTGAAGACTAATTGTAATTCTCATGAAAAAAAATGACAATTTATTTCTGTGTTTAGTGCGCCTGTGAAAAATATGATTGTTGTCAATGTGAGTTGCTGTTTGTATAACACACCAAATTTTTTTTAAAAAAAATAATTTAACTCAACCATAGTTGGGTTACAGCCACCCAACACATTTTTATATCAATAATTTCAATATAAAATATTTTATAATTGGCTTCAATTCACACACTATAACATTTTAAATAAATTTTTACCTTCCATATGCCATTAGGCTAAATCACATTTGTCCATCCTTATACTCCCAACAAATAAACTATATCACATTTGTCCATCCTTATACTCCCAACAAGTAAAATAAGCAATTTAATAAATTTTCAACACAAGCCAGTTATTTGGCCTTATAATCATGCCATTTTAACCAATCCAAAGTAAACCAAATATTAAAATTATAGTCATCCAAATTGTATCAAAAATAGAAATAGTTTGAAAGGCATGATTACATTTATATATTCATATAGTTGACAATAAACAAAAAAACCCTAATATTGGCAATATAACACATTATAAATCATAAATTAAATACCCAAAAGAGACAATGGATCTATACCACTAAGCCTCTGGGACTCCTCCACGTGTTACTCGTGGCTCTTCTCCTGAAAGTTGTTAACCACATAATGAGACTCAAAAGTTCCAGTAACCAAAGCCAATTTATGATAGTGTATACAAACAGTTAAGTGTGTGCTTACTAAGTGAGAATTAAAAATAATATAATTCCAACAAATATATGAAATATTACAATACACACAAACAACCATCCTTATATCCTTCCATTAACCTCGAGCCGTAGCCCTCACTCGATGCTAAATTACCCGGTTAAAGGTAGATTAGCCCGAACCCTTACAAACCACCTATTGAGCTCCAATAGGGGCGTACCACGTGGCACATAAATAATAATAATAGCAAGTCTCCCAACACCTCCCACAATAATTAAACAAATTCATAATAATATTACACAATTATACAATATTACAAAATTCATAATTTTCTCAATAATCACTCAATTAACATGAAGTAACACTAATCACAAATTAAAAGCATGGTTACCTTGTGGCTTTTTTAATAAATTATTCCTTAAAATTTCTCTCTCACCATAATCTTCACCAGTAATACAATCTACAAATAACATATTATTTATAAATATTAGTTTTAATTTTTGAAACTAATAAAATAATTCTAATAATAGAATTAAAAATATAACATAATTCCTAATCTCAATCTTAATACAAATCTATAGTTAATACTATTAAGTAAAATTTTTAACTCCTCTTTTAATTATCAATAAACATTAATAATCTAAAAATTAACTTCTAAATTAATTTCTATTATCAAAATTTTCTTTTTATTTCATAAATTCGTACCTAAAATATCCAAAAATTAAAATTGAGTCTCTAGCTTAGAATCATAATCCTATAACCATAATAATTCATTTCTCATCCCAAATAATCATCTAAACCTCAATAAATCAACATATATTTTCAGATCTAGTTTAGAATTTGATCCATAAGCCACAGATTCAAAGATCATCAACAAATTTATACTCTAGAACATTTATTATACTACTGACAACCTCAAAAACCATATTTATTCAACATAAATTCATCCCTCTTCTAGATCTTAAATTTTCTACCACTACAAACTCAAAAACCAAAGAAGAAGGATGACTAAGAAAAATTTTTAGAACACTTACTTAGTCTTGAAAAGCTTAAAATCACACCCTAAATATCCTATTAAAAACTCTTACTCGGTGAACTTGGCTCACAGGTGCTCTCTCTGCCTCAGCTCACACACGAAAGAAGGAATGAAGAAATGAAGGAACAGGTGAGTTTTTATAAAAATTCAGTGGGTCCCACACATTTTTTTTATTATTTCTTCTTTTCTATCTCTCCCCTTTTTTTATATTATTATAATATACAATGATTGCATCGAAAGCGTTCATGTTTTCTTCCTTCTTTCCTTTCTCTTTCTCATACCTTTTCTCTTTCTTTCTTTTTATAATAATAATAATAATTTAATAATATTTTATTGATTTATTTTTTTAATTAATTAATTTTTTTAAATTTTTTATTTTAATTTAGAATTATATCCTAAATTAGATTTAATAATCATTTTCTATTAATTTGCTTACCTCTAAATATTTTTTCAAAATTTCTATTAATCCAAATTAACTATTAAAATTTAAATTGGGATGTGACAGTTTGACTATCACACAAAATCTGTACAGGCTCTGTAATAGTCAAGCTTAAACCTTTCAGCATTTTGTTTACCCAAGTAACTTCTACCATAGCTGATCCTAATGTTCTATATTTGGCTTCAATCAAAGATCTGGAGATTGTAGGCTGCTTCTTGGATTTCCAATAGATTAAGGAGTCTCAAAACTTTACCATGTATCCAAATACAGATCTTCTAGTGTCACAGGTATCTACCACGCGTACAACTGCTTCCATGTGAGATTTTCTCGGAGCACTTAGTAATTGACTCAGCTTTGCACAATAAAACTCAAATCAGGTCTGGTGGCAATTAAATAAGAAAGTCTACCTACCAAGTGCCTAAAGGTAGAGGGTTCTTCTTCTTCTTTTGTCTTTAGTTGCTATCTTACCATCTGCACTCAGTCTGCAATTCTACTCCATGGGAATACTTCATGGGTCTTGCACCACTAAGTCCTATATCAGAAATGAGCTCTAAAAGTATACTTCCTCTGATTGAGTACAATGCGGACCTTATTAACTCAATGCCCAGAAAATATTTTAAATTTCCCAAATCCTTAATTTTGAACCTTTGATGCAAGTAATTTTTGACTTCATTAATACTCTTCAGACTATTACCTTTAACAACCAAGTCATCAGTGTAACCTGAAACAATAACCAAATCAGATTTGTTTTGCTTAATGAAAAGGGAACATTCATACTTACTTTGTCTAAATCCCCTTGAATTAGTGCCTCATTAAGCTCAGCATTTTTTTGACTTTATGCTCGCCTAAGGCCATATAGGGATTTGTGCAATTTACAAATTTTACCTTTTTCTAATTGCTTGAATCTTCATAGAATGTCCATAAAAACTTCTTCATTAAAATCTCCTTGGAGAAAAGCACTTTGAATATCCATTTGAAACAATATCCAGCCACATATCACAATAATAGAAACTACTATTCTCATCATGACGGTTTTAACAACTAGAGAAAAAATCTCAAAAAAATATACCCTCTTTTGTTTGCTATATCCCTTAGCCACTAACTTGGCTCTGATACCGTGATAAATTTATCATAAAGAGTCGAAAACAAATAAAATTTATTAATAGTACCTATACAAAACTGTCAAGCCCACCTCATATAGGCCATGAAATACAACCACTAGATAATTAGAATTTCACACAATCTCAACTAATTAACTACTTAACATACACCTAATAGCTAGAAATAATTTTTGATTATTTAATACAATTAACACATTCAAGTAGATCAAAACTTAAATTTTCATTTATAGAGAAACCACAAGCTTGATATAATAGATAATATATATCAAGCAAGACGGGTCTATTTATCCCAACCTTAAAAATATATTCTCAATTTTCAGTATCTACCATTTAAATATTTCTATCAATTTGAATTCTATACTTTTGCAAGTTGGTCAAATATTATGGCTCGTTTGGTTTGGGGTAAATGAGGTGGAAAAAGTAGACCTTTCAAAGAGTGATTAAATTCTAATTGATTGTTTAGTACATTAAAAAGATTAACTTATTAAAAAACTTTGTCTGTAACTTTTCTTAGAACTAATTTACTTATTGGGTGGAGTCTAAATTTTGCTTCTTTAGTATTCATTATATATTTTTAAATTTTACCTCCGATATTCATTGTATGATAGAAGCTTGACGCATTAACTTAACATATCATTTATAATAATAAAGTGACAAATTTATAATATATTATATTAATTTATACTATCAAAACTTATACAGCATATGAAATGGGACAAAGAACATTCTGATATCTTGTCAATCCAAAATGGAAATCATCAACTATAATTACTATATTGACATTGAATTTTAAAAACATTTTTTCATGACAAATGGCTACATACGCTCCCCCCCCCCCCTCTCCCAACAAAGAAAATCAATATAATCAACTGAATAAGGTTGGCAATTGTGATTTTGTACCCATATTTTCATTCTAGCCCAGTATCTTGGCACATGCTTATCAATCAACATGCAGGCCCGTTAAAAAAGCATCTGCCTCATTCAAAAGAAACCCAAAAACAAAGAGAACGAACAAAAAAGACATGAAATGATGAAATATAAACAAATTATTCTTATCCTTCAATCGGTATGTTCTTCCAACTTCTATCATTTTCCTCCCCCTTTCTAATCTCCCAATCGTATTTTAACGGAGATACTTTCTTGTCCTCCTCCTAAGGATCTCGCTTTCCTCCTTCGCTTTTTGGCTCGTGCTTTCTACCTATTAGACGACGGTCTTTTTCCTGTCAAGAGCCAGTCCGACTCTATTTTCTGGCCATCGTTTCCGGGGAGCTTTGTGTTTCAGTCCGTAGCTTGCAAGATACAAGGATAAGTAAATTGAGATCCAAATTAACGTCTTCTGTAGCATCAACGGAGCCGTCCCGGCTAAGGCAAGTTTGAAGAAATCCAGTCTTCATGGTCAAGACTCTAGAGTTCTATCTTTCTTGACTCTTCTCGCTTGAATTGAATTTATTGAACTTGAGCTTCACTTTACATTTGCTTATATCTCTGAAGGTTGACCCAAAACTGCGACATCTCTTTGAGTCTGTGATTTGCCAATTTTGGATTTAAAGAAATGTTGTGGAGAGCATGTTGATTTGAATGTGCGTACTAGGTGTTCGTTTTTCTTGCCTAAATTTACTCTATGCAACTGACAGAGACACTTGCATTCATTGATATCTAGTAATTTCTCCTCTGACCCTGTAAAACGTAATTGATTTGATTAAGCTAAAGATATAGTCTGTCTCCAATTAGGCAAGTCACAGTGAGACTAGCTGATATATGGTATAAATGTGAGCCTACTTGGTTAGTGACTAATGATATGGATGGACTTGCCAACCTTGAAACCTTTAAATGATGGTATTTTGTCTGGTTTCACACGAGTCAACTGACCCAGAACGGAGATGGCATCTTTGCAGATCTAGGTTTTCGGAATTAGACAAAAAGACATCTTCTCGGGGCTTCAAGATTCTTGAGGGTTCAGAATGTAATTTACTGGCTACCGGGGTGCCTGTTTGTTTAGTCAATGAGTTTGTAAGTGACAATGAATTTGTGTGACGGATGGATAATTTTATTATTGGGAAAAATATTCAGGGGGCTAAGTTGAGAGGAGAATAATCTCTCAGAAATCAAATAATCAATTTAATTTTCATTGTTAAGCGAATTCAGTTTTTTTTTTCCCTGTCCAATAATGACTCGTCTTGCGGATTGCTCCTCTTGCTTTTTAACTGTAGTTCGATTCTATAGAAGTTTTGGAGCCTGATGCATATTGTACCATAGAGAACTTGACTGTGTGTAGTTTGCTATCTGTAGCTTGTTGATTCTTGACATGAGTCACCACTTCCTCAAGCTTACGTAGCTGCTTCTCTTGTCTGGAAATTGAGTAAGTTGTTGGTTTGACTTTCTCCTTCGTGAGGTATCTAAAATTATTGTTCAATCATCGATGAATAAAAATATGCCATGTAACTAAAAGAACAATTTGAGGGTGTTGCCAATGTTCAACCATACAAGTTATTCTTTCTACTTGGGTGCACGAGGAAACATGGAAAAGAGGGAAAAACTTCCAATTTGTATAACTCAGTATTTAACACTATTGCAGAGGACATTAAATTAACATTGCTATTTATAGTTCATTCTTTGGGTCATGTATTAGGAAATGGTATATGATAACATTGAGCACGGCACTGTAGATAATTATTGATAGGAAAACTTGAGAGGATAATGAAGCCTCCTATCTCTATTTATACCATGATTGATTATAATGGGGAATACTGTGAAACTGATATAAGCAAGGTTGATATCCCTATCTCTAGGTAATGGCAGGGATAACTATCCTTGAAGATTGCTGTATATATATGCCCTAACAATTTTGTTATTTTAGAAAGCTCTTTAATGATAGCCCTGTATATTTTCCAACAGATGTAATTTGCTAAAATTGATTAATTACTTTCTTTTCTACAAAATGTATAACTTGGGACCATGTTATCACTGCACTTCCAAAACTATATTCAAGTAATGAATACAGTTTGCTCTTTAATGCAGATTTAGTTCTAGAACTTTATAATTTTGTGGATTTCATTGAAGAGCTTCTCAATATTTCTTTTGGAAGTATCTTATTTTTGGCCATCCATTTGAAATGCTTTAATTTTATAGCATATAGCACTTCCAAATATAAGTTGCTCTTTTGTTCTATTAATGCAAAATGATGGATGAGTATGGCTTTTACTGGTTTTTGGGAGCAGAGTTGTTAAAATATAATGTTCAATTTATATAATCTTATCTTCTTGTAAAGCACGTGTATTGGTTTTTATTTTTCTTTGGCATGTGAAAGTTGTCATTGCATGGCATTAACATTTCTATGTCGTCTTTGAGTTCCTCTGAGGAAGAAGCATCTGGTTTGTGTGTGTCTCTTATTACATGCTCGTGATAACATATTCTGAAAGGCTCAAAAAGCCAAGTGGCAGTCTGGTGAAAATGTTTCCATTTATGGTGCATTTTTTTAAAACAACATTTTGTAAACTTTACAAATGACGTACAATTTCTGGAGTGGAATTGGTTACCCCTAAGGGAGTGAAGTGCTAACTCCATTCTCTCACTTCATATGAGTTAAGGATTTTTTTTTTTTAAATTTTAATAATTTCTGTTATTTCCTAGACATATAAATAGCTGATTTAGGACTGTTGTTTGTAGCTAAGTATCATTTCTATTCTAATAGAGACTTGGTAGTATGGGATACCAAGTCCCACATCGAATAGTATGGGATGCTCAATGGGGTATATAAGTGGGTTGGTTTTCCCACTTCAATAGCTAATTTTTGGGGTAGGGTTCCCAATCCCATTTAGGTACCCATCAATTGATATCAAAGCCTCATTGTCGGTGCTTGGTAGTATGGTATACCAAGTCCCACATTAAGTAGTATGGGATGCTTAATGGGGTAGATAAGTGGGTTGGTTCTCCCGCTTTAACAGCTAGCTTTTAGGGTAGAGTTCCCCATCCCATGTAGGAACCCATCATATTCCTTGTACTTGGGGAGATTCTCGTAAGTTATTAAGAGCTTGTGAGTGAAATTCTTACTCATATCTTCCTACTGGTGTTTCTTTAATGAAAACTATTTTTCACACCCCTACCTCTAACATGAATTTGGAGAATGTACTGGAAATAATGTTATTGATTTTGTGTGTGCTTTTAATCTTGTCCAATGAACTTACTTAAAATTGAAGAGTTTCGGCAAAATGCAGCATTAATCCAGTGCTTCCTCTTCATAGCTTTGCGTATTTTTTTAGGCAAGCTAAAGCACCACAGTATTATAATTTTAAAAGACGTGCATTTTACTTTTTATGACATTGTTTGGTACCACACGACAATAGCAAGAGAGGAGAGAGGGAGAGGAGAGCTTAAGCTATTGGTTGCGGCATTCAACTATGCTTCTTGTTGGCTTTTTTGGTAGGCCTGCTATCGTTTTTCTTTTGAATCTTGAACCAGTGTTCAACAGTGGCTCTCTTCTTTGAAGAGACATTTTAACATTTTTATATCAATTCACTTCTTCAGATCTTTGTTGAACTCATATCAAAGTTCGGTAATCTCTTTAAGTCTTCTCTGTTACTTCTTAGAGCATTTGGCTTCACACTTGAATGATTATGGAACTTTTACAAAGCATTTAGTATGGGCTGTGGCATATATTTATTCAATTGAGAGGCATATTCTTGAATGAATTGGTCGTAAACGATATCTTTTCCCCCTAAAGTGTTTGTTTCAGTAATTCAAAAGGATAATTATTACAAAACTTTTGCATATTTATAATATCAAAAATAGTGAAGTGGCATTGGTGTCTGCTTGGTAATCAATTCAAAAGAGTAAATTGGTAATTTTCTTTATTCTAATTTCCTTTTATTTCCAAATTTATGATTATTTGTCTAAACCTGATTCCCTGCCTATGTAATGCTGTTGAATATATTATTTATAATCTAGAAATTGCATTTAATCTCTCACCAACATTATGAGTTCAGCTAATCCCACAATAATGCATGGATGATGTTGGACTAGGGTAGTAAGTGTACTGACAATGCTATTTTTTATGACTGGTCAACCTTTGTGCTTAGATATCTATATATATGCCTGTAGACTATTCAACATTTCTGCCTTCTTGTTAATCTCAATGCTGATTATCACTGAACTTGGTAAAATGAAAAGGTTAATAACTGAAAAATAAAATTAATCAGTAATATCCTTTGCATGCTGAAGTTGCGCATTGAATTTTGATTGGTGGATCCAACTCAATTAGAATCAGTTTTGAAATTATTCATTGCATTGATACATAGAAAATCCGGTATGAATAAACCCATTTTACCTCTCCTATACTGATTAGGTAAATCAAATTTCTTGTTCCTTAATCTATGCAGATAAAATGTGTCTATCTACATATATTCTAATTTCATATAATAAGTACATGCTTTTTATTTTTGTAGATTTATCAGAATATGTTGTCTTATCTTGCCCTTTGTCACTCATCTTGTGTGTGATCTACTTCTTTTCTTAGCTTTCTCTTGGATTTAGGGTCACGAGTCTTTTCAAAAGGTGTTCTGTTGTCTAATTCAGATAAGGAAAGGGACTAGTTTTCTCTAGTAAACTGATGTAATTCTTTTTGTTTTTTTTGCTCGTTCCCTCTGTGGTTTCCTGCGTATTTTGGAGGATATCTGTTTCTCCTGCTTTTATTCCGTTTATCCCTTTATGAATTGCTGTTTCATCTATTTAGGGTTCTTATAATATAATTAGCGTATTTTATTATTGTGGAGCAACTTTTGCTTCAAACATGTACTTGCTATCTTAAAAGCTCATTTGAATTACACTGGAGGTTTGCAGGTCTATCCCATTTTGACTAATCATCATACATCACGAACTGCAGATACAGCTGGTATTAAATATGGAGTTGAATACCATTAAAGATGCATTTGACCGTGTTACTAAGAAGCAAAAGTTACCTAGTTCTAAGATTCGAGAAGCGATTGATCAGATTAACCAAGAAATTGAGAAAGCTATGAACAAGATTCTGTCAGCCGATGGTCCAGACTCTACGCTTGATCACAGATCTGTCCTCAGTGAACTCAATACAAGTTTACATAATGTTTCACCACTTGGCCAACTGGAAGGTCCGCAAAAGGAGCTTAATATAGCACTCACCAAGTATGGGAAGATCCTTGAGAGATCCTTCAACCCTGATATATCAAAGGCTTATAGAAATATTGATTTTGATATACACACACTAAATCAAATAATTGCGAACCATTTCTATCATCAGGGCCTCTTTGATTTTGGGGACTCCTTTATAAGTGATGCCAGGGAACCAGAAGCTGCTGCCGTTATGAAATCTTCATTCCTGGAGATGTACCAAATACTCGAAGCAATGAAGAGTCAGGACTTGGGGCCTGCCCTCGACTGGGCCACCACTATTTCTGATAAACTCACACAAAATGGATCTGACCTTCTTTTGAAACTTCATTCAATGCAATATTTAAAAATAATTCAGAGTGGAAATAAAGGTGAAGCTCTTGAGTACGCTCGAACTTACCTTTCTCCTTTTGCTTCCAGTCACATGGTTGATGTCCAGAAACTTATGGGCTGTCTTCTGTGGGTCGGAAAGCTTGAGCGGTCTCCATACCATGCATTACTATCACAGAGTAACTGGGACAGGCTGGCTGAAGAACTAAAAAGGGAGTTCTGCAATCTCCTGGGTCAGTCATACAACAGTCCTTTGAATGTGACTGTGGCAGCAGGGATTCAGTGTTTACCTCCTCTTCTTAAATTTATGAATGTCATGGTAGGGAAGAAGCAGGAATGGCAGTCCATGAACCAGCTGCCCGTACCAGTTGAGTTGGACCGTGAATTCCAGTTTCATTCTGTTTTTGTTTGTCCTGTGTCGAAGGAGCAATCCACTGACGATAACCCTCCTATGTTGATGTCGTGTGGCCATGTCCTTTGTAAGCAGTCTATCGCAAAGATGTCCAAGAATAGCACAAAGGTGTTTAAGTGCCCATATTGTCCCACTGATATCGACGCAGCACAATGCAGGCAGTTATTTTTCTGATGTCAATGAACTGTTTGAAAAAAAACACACACCCTTCCTCCCCCTCTCTCTCGTGTAGCAAAAAAATCTTTGTTGTAGAGAAGTTCCACTGTGAAGCAGGGGCAATTATCGTGATGGCAGAAACCCATGCCCTGTTGTGATGTCTGTTTGTTTGAACACAAGAAATTCTTTATCAAAAAGCAAGTTCTTCAATTGCATCAGTAGCGTGCTTGTTATTGCATCCTCACAATTCAAACGTTGGGTTTTTCCCACAGATCAAGGGAAATGTTTTTTTTCTAAAGTAGTGGGGTGTTAATGTAGTGAGCTTGATGAGCCAAACTGATCAAGGGACATATTTGTCTCTTTAAAAGTATAATTAAAGATTTCATTAAAAAAAAGTATAATTAAAGATAACAATATAATTTCTTAACGATAAAGTCTCTAACATCCGTGATAGTATTATAAGAGGATAATTTGGAGAATCTTCAGTTCATGTAAGTTTAAGAGCTTTTGTTTAGTCGTTGAAGATGTTGATCTTATTGAAGTCTTGATTCCAACATGGCTTTAACCCTTCCATAATACTCACAAGTTCATCAAAGATCAAAGGGGTTAGAAACAAAATCTTTTTTTTTTTTTTGGCAAGGACCTTTTATCAAAATATCATTTTGGCTTTAAATGAAGCATTCAAAAGTTGTGTCCCCTCTTTAGTAGTTAATAGAACCATCTACTTCTTATCTAACCTGGCCATCTTGAGATGGTGACCATCTAGATTATCCCTTTAATTTGTTGCTGCTTCTAGTTTGAGATAATCAATAATCATTTTAACACTAATGAAGGCAATGTCTCCTTTAAAAATGTTTTCTTCTTCAAAGTAGAGTTTGTTACATCTAGCTTTTCACACATATATACATACATAACATATATTAGCAAACATGAACAAAGCTTCTTGGTTATGGTGTTCTTGTAGCTCTAACCCAAGCTTCATTATCAGCATTCCATAAAAACCAGTCTGTGTTCGAGACAAGATAATGACAATGAACAAATTGCGGCAAAGTTACCCAGATACTATAACAAAAAATAAAATTTATTCATATATTATGCTTTACAAAATATTTACTCAAATACTATAAATTCAAAAATTAACATCTACCAAACAGAGTTTTAAAAACCTTTTGACACACAACTTGGTGTGTGTCAAACCAACTTATGTGTGAGATAAATTTTTTTTTTTTAAAAAAGCAAGCATAGAGCGGTGAGAACTGACACCCTATTATTCTATCTCTCTTCCCCTAACTCACTACATTCTCTCTCTCCCCTCTTCCCTCCCCCACTCTCTGTCACACACACAGGCTTGTATATATATTACTTCCTCCATTTAAAATTATAAAATATTATTTAAAAAATTAGATGTTAAAAAATATAAGATATTTTTAATCTTTTAAAGTATAATTATTATTTTTTTAAAAGTGTACCTATTAATAATGACTTTATATTTATTATATGGTGTTTAATAGAGACAAATATGAAAAGATAGGGTTAGTTTGAAAGTAGGTAACTACTTTATTAGATGATGAGATTCAATTAAAAATGTCTTACATTTTTTAACGGGGTGAGTAATGTTTTCTTCATTTAAATATATTATTAACTTCTTCATAAATAATATGAAATAATATAGAATATACCTTAAAAATAATTTATATAATATATTAATTATATATTATAACCAAATTCCTTTTGAAACTATTAAAATTAATAATAAATACTTTTAATCCAAAAGTTAAAAAAATTGATTTTACCAATGTTTAAATTTTTATTAATTTTTATATAAAAATTTATTTAAAAACATAACCTATATATATATTTTGAGTTATAAAAATTATATATTTAATTTTAAAGTTATATAATCTATTAATAAAAATATAGAAGTCCATAATTTTTTTAGAAAAAAATTTAAGGATTTTAATCCTTAAAGTTATCATATTTAATTGATTAAATTATAAAAACTTGATTAAAACAAAATAAATCACAGGCACCTACGTCAAAATTGATAAAATTATAAGGACCTGAAAATTAACTTTTTCTTATTATTAAATAATAATAATATTTAAAAATAAGTTTTAATATTTTATTTTAGTAATTTTTATATAACACATGGTTTATGTATTTATATTTTATTTTTAAGGTATATTTTATATTATTTCATGTTATTTATGAATAAGTTAATAATATATTTAAATGAAGATAATGTTAATATATGAGAGAGAGAGAGAGAGAGAGAGAGGAAATAGTGATTTAGGGGAGGAGAGATAGAATAATGTAAGTCCTACCACCTAGGGCTACTTTCTTAAAAAAAAATTATCTCACTCATAAATTGACTTGATACACATCGAGTTGTGCATCAAAATATTTTTAAAACTCGGTTTGATATATGTCAATTTTTGAATTTATAATATTTGAGTAAATATTTTGTAAAGTGTAGTATATAAGTAAATTTTATTTTTTATTATAGCATCCCGTAACTTTGCAACAAATTGCCATTGCCCTTGGGGTCCATATTATAATTATATCTATGCAGGCGCGGAACCAAACTCGCAAGGCTGGGGGGGCCAATTTTGTAATATATAATTATATATAGATCAAGTTATTTAATTTTTATTAATAATTAAAAATAATTTTGCAATAGAATTGAAAAAATTTAGAAGATGACAAATCATTTATATAAGACTTAAAAAATAAGAAAAGAGCTTTCCAAAGTATATAAAAACTCACGTTATAAAATTTAAGAAAAATTAATAATATATTTATATTTTTATCTACTATTATTTATAAAAATATTTTTTAATTTTATTTATAAGTCATTTTAACATGTTTCATTGAAACCAAGAAAATCTTAAAACTTATTAATTTTATTTAAAAATTTAATAAGTTTTTAATTTCAGACCTCTTAAATGTATATACTTTAATAATATATTTTATTTCTTCAATATTTAATAGAGGATAAAAGAAAAATTTATGATGAAAATTTAATACTTTAATTTATAAATAGGATAAAAAAAATACTCATACCTCTATCCTATAAGTGAAAAAGCTACACACGAGAAAATATAGGTGCTAGAAAGTAAAGAATGTATAATTGCATAGGAACTAGGCAGTAAGAAATACATAGTGAAAATATGATAAAAGTTAAAATTAAAAGATTGAGGGGCCAAAACAGTAACTGTTCCTTTATAAAAAAATCATCCTATAAGTTGATAAAAAAATTTTAAAAAAAAATCTGGGCCCCCCTAAACTCGACCTAGGTCCGTCTCTGTATACATGCACTATATTTCTATTCGAATACTTGATCCAGACTGAATCCGAAAATGACAGGGAAAAGGTTCACTTATATATTGGCCATTCAACCTTTCTTTCTTCTAACTTCGTAATGAATATGGCTCCCGCGTAAGAATAAAGGTGCAAGCTAATAGCCAATATTCAGGTAAAAAAAAAAAAAAAAAAAAGCTAATAGCTAATAGCCTCTTGCATCTGAATTTTACTTGGGCTTGTTCTTGGTTCAGGTTTGTTATCGTTCCAGGCCCACGCTTAATCCACCTTTTTTCCGAACGTTTTTCAACTCAACAGCTCTTAGCCTCTAACGGCCCCATGGGCAAGGCAGGGTTACTAAAAAGTTACTTTCTTCTATTACTTTTTTTGGCCAAATTTCTTCATTTCTGTTGAAACAACGGTTCATTCTTAACTTTTGCCAGCTCATTAACGGATCTAATGACAAAGGATAATCATGACATAAAATATTAGTTAAAGGAAATTAATTAATACCTATATATAATATAATAACTCTAACAAGTTAAATTCTTGTAAGTCATGAACAATGCAACTTATTTCTAAACAATCAAAACACTAGTTCCATTTTACTGAAAAAATGCCAATGAATCAGTGTAAGTTATATATTTGGTCTCTTCTTTCATTATAATTCACAAGAATCTTAGAATTTGAAAATCCACTGAAAAAGACAATCACTGAATTCCTGTAACAGAGAAGCCAAACATGTTACCGTTTGTATGTGTAAATAAAGGGGGAAAAATCAAAACAGATAAATAGTGATGAAAAAAGTAACAACAAAACACTAATCCCCAAATTTGCATGGTCCCCTTCCCGTCCTCGCGGCGAAACATTTATGCTTAGAAGCATAAGCAAAGACTGAGCCTTTATTGGGATTTACATTTATTATTATTATTATAATAACGAATAAATAAATAAATGGCCCTTTAGAGATGCACATTTGGAAAGTAGGAACAAAAGGAGACCACTCATGAACAGCACTTAACAGTGCTCTAAAAGTTTTGCGCAATTTAAGGACCTGTTCAGGAGCCCCCCTCCCTGTGTGGCTCCTTCCAAAAGGTCAATATTATTATGAATATGACTCTTTTACATTGCATGGGGCCTCTCTCAAAGCTTAAAAGTCTCTTGTCATTCATTCCTTTTATCCCTTTCACGCAGATTTAGGCTTCACTTCTTTCTTTCTTTCACCAAATTTTTCACACTGAGTCATCAAAATTCAACATTTTCTTGTCTTGTTTTGTTCCACTAAGGTCATCATGTTAGCTTTAGTTGATCTCTTTGGTTTTCAATGGTCCTACATGAAACACCCTCAGAAATGGTGATTTTAGATTACTTATGCAGTAAAAGAAGAGGTATGACCAAGACGAGCAGGAGATACTTAAACATGTAAGTGATAACCAAGGTACTGACAGCCTGACACCTGAACCAACAATTAAATCAATTAAACTAATTGTTTAAGGGTTAGTAGTTTAAACAGTGATTAAATCAGGATCAACCCAATGATGATTGCTTTTTAAACTCAACAGGATGTCATTTTAGGTTCAGTGAGAAGGAAAAAAAATAATAAAGCCAACCTGTTGATCTGTGTAGAACTCTTGACCTGTTTGGCCAAGGGGCTTATTACCAATTCGTTGGTTTGAGCAGTCAACTCTAGTTAAGTCTTAATACCATGGAAAAACAATGGGAAGGCTATTTTACCAGTGGCAAGTGTATAGGATGAGATGAAGGGTGGAGATGAGGATGTGGATTGATGTTGAGGTGCAAATTTTTTCCCTTAGAAGTAAAGAAGATCATGTTGTTCATATTCTAAGATTACGCATACACAACTAGTGTGACTTGCAATAATGATTGTTTGGATATTAAGAATTAGTGGGTCCGA